ATAAAAGCATGAATACAATGTTGGTTTGCGAAAATAACCTTATAATATTAAGCATAATAACTCATAATAAAAGGATATAATCGAAATTCTAGATACCTTATAATCCTATTAGTTTTAGGACATAATACTATACGTTAGAAATCTTAGCAATAACCTATTTTTTGGACTACAATACCTTCTATGTTAATTTTTAATTTTTAATATTTAAAAATTAATAAAATTTTATCTATTAAATTATTATTAAAAATATGTAGGAAGGTTTAATAAAATAAATTTTATAAGAATCCTCTGTATTGACGATACATTACCACTCCATAATATCCAATACTAAGAAAAAATAAAAATTAATATTAGATGGACAACATAAAGTGTTGAAATTGAGAAAAACAATACCCCCACGATAATATATTTTTATATTATATTTAAACTATTTTCCTACTCAAATAATATTTTTTTATCAATTTTTTGTGTAATATTAAAAAATACTCAATTATTAAACAACAACTAAGACAATATTTAAGAATATAAATGTGTGAGAAAGAAAAAAATGGTTGGTAAGAGCCAATACCACTAATGATTCTACAAACATAAAGATATAAAAGTGAAATGTCATATCAATCTTTTACTCTTTGGAAATAAAATTTATGGTGGATAAAATTATAATTAAGATTAAATATTCAAAACAAGAGATGAACTAATATTGAGATCTGAATCAACATAGAATAAATTATTTTTATGTTAAAACCAAATAATTAAATCTTTTAATTAATTATTTTGCAAGAGAATCCAATTCAATTACTTTTTAAATTCATCATACGAGTAAAATTCTTATTCAAGTTAAAAAAAATCTTAGGGTACATAAATTTATTCCATAAAAAGAGTGTTAGAACACAAAGTAAAAATGTTAGTATATTATTAAAAATTAAAATGCTATATAAGTGTATGAGAAAGCACAATCAAAGCTAAATTCTAAACAAGAACAACCTTTCAAGACTATATTATAAAGAGTCGACTCTGCTATAGCGGAATTATTCTTTGTAGATGCCTCCGGCGGAATCAAAATAATATTTTCATGTCATGCATTACTTGCAAATATCATATCAAGAGGCATGACAGTGTTAGTAATAATAGCAAGTGGTGTACCAACAACTATTTTATTGTGAGGCCACTCACTTTAGATTTGAAATACCTCTTCAAACAACTTAAATAACCATCACAAATATATCAAAGTAGAGCAATGGTGTTTAATTTATAAGAAAAGAAAAATTGATAATATGAGATGAAACACTTATGGCTAAGTGTCAAACGATCGAAATAATTGCCCGGAGTTCTAGAGATATATTGGATATTAATGAACTGTTTGGTGGAAAATTAATGGTTTGGGATGTGATTTATGTCAAGTACTACCTGTAGTTCCAAAATCGATAAAAACAGAGACTGTAAAAGCTAGCTTGCCAAAGTTATACTTCTGGCCTCAAATGAAAAAAATTCACTAACAAGAAATATAAAGTAAGAACATATCCAGTATTAAGTGTCTTCTTGCTTTGTGTCAGAAATGAAGAAGAGCATCCAATGAAAGATAATTTGGATCTTCTTGAATACTTGGTTATCAATCACAATGGTAATGGTGGTGCATTTAATAATAGAAATATTTCTATCAATAAATTAAAACGTAATTTGTGCAAATCTCATGATAGAATTAAAATGATATCTTAGCTAGCATAAATGAATATGTTGATCAACTAAATAGAAGGCTGATTGCAAAATTTTATAATAAACAAAATGTTTTTCTATTTTTGACTCAGCAAAAAATGATACCAAGAAGAATACTTAAATACTTTAATACCAAATGGCCTTCTACCATACTTGTTTGTTGTAAAGTTTATTATTTCTTACATATGTTAGTGTCACCGTTTATATAATAGACTAAGTTAAAATTGATATTCCATTGTATATAGGTTGATTTTGAAGAAAAATATGCACGTCATGCTACTGAAAAACTTAGATACGCCGAATAGCTAGCACACATATGGCATATAGAAGTTTTGACAATAACGTCATATATGCAAAAATAACGTCATATATGCTTCTAAGTATATTCTTATCCCTGAATTCAACTTTCGTTTTGCGAAACTAAGGAATATCCTTTT